GCCGGGGCCCTCATCAACCCTCTGAGTTTAGGGTTTAGAAGAAGTCTCCAAAGCCTCGAAGCTGACTCCCTGCAGGATTCCGTTCGCCAAGAACCAGGAGGGCTCTGGTTGCTTGGGCGTGCCGCAGCTGGCATTTGTAAGGAGGGATGTGGAGTTGATTTGGCAATCGGGGCTTCATGGTTTCTCTTTAATGCTTTGAACTTCATGTTCATCTTAGCATCCAGAAGCGAAGCCCGCGGAGGATAATCCTGCAGTGTCGGCGATGGGACAATTAAAGTATCGGATGTAAGGGTTCAAGATGTTTCTTATTGAGTCTACTTGTCAGATGACTAAACCCTAAGCCCGAACAGTCTTTATATTCCGCGGCTACCATGAGCGCCAATTTTGGCAAAAGTCAGTGCATGTTTGTGCTTCGGTTCCAGCCTTCTTTGTTTATGACTGCGGGCTGCAAGTATCTGAAGCTTGTTCTCATAGTTTCCGTGAAGGCCAAGGCGCGCCAATGAATGGAAGGACCATGGGTTAGTTTGCTTGGGGTTCATAAGAATAATCATTAGTGATCGGGATATTCTGCTCTTTGGGATGGTTGTCTGTTCCGGTCCTTCTGCCACGCACTTGACGAGGTCTTGCACATGCTGTTTTGGTTCTTCTCGTGGCTTCCACGGACATTTCGGGAAGGGTGTGGGGCTTGCTCGTGGGACTTCGGGGACAGAATTTGCACTGCACGAAGCTTGTTCCTGTACAAGAATGGGTTTGTTTATCTACACCCCCAACTCAAGAATCCATAGGCCTCGATACCCTACAACGAACCCTGAACTCTTTCGAACCTAGCTATTCCGAGAGGGAGCCCTGAGCCCTGCTATAGCAGTTGAACCCTAAAATCCCAACCCTACAAGTACAACCCTCAAGATGTAAAGACACCCTTACCTTTGAACCCAAGCCCTAAAGGCCCCAAGCCCCAAATTGAGGTTCCAGGCCGTGTGGACGGTACCGTGATCGAGTCCGGTGAGACCTGCCGAACTGAGTGCAAGGAGGGTTCCCAGGATGCGAGCCGGAACTTGTTTTTCTCCAAAGTCAGAGTTTGTTGTTGGTTCTTGGGGGTTACAGGGCTTGGGCTTTGAGAGGTGAGCGAATTTCTGAAAGTTGGACTGGGTCCTTGTAACAAGCGATTTTTAAGCATCGCACCACTTTGCTTCCGCATGCGGGTGCAGTGTGCTTCTGCAGTGTTCGTTTAGATCCAGGGTTTTGAGGTGTTGAGGGGTTTTTGAAGAGTACAGAAGGGATCTTCTGGGCTTCGAAGCCAGCCTGCTTAGCTCATTCCGAAGCTTCGTGAAGCTCTATAGCAAATACGCGCAAAAAAAAAACGCCCTCAGCTGGTTTAGTGACTTTCCCAAGGCCCCTGAATTTTTTGATTCTCCAACCCTGCACCCTTAAAGCCGCAAAGACTCCGAGGCTACCATGCTTCCGTTGAGAGGATGAGCTGTATGACTGGCTCTCTTACACCACCTTCTTGGAGTTGCATCGAGGACAGCAGAGCTTGATGTGGAACAGGGGCCACAGTAGTTGGAATAGGGGCTCTTCAACGGGTTTCTTACATGGTTCTTGTAAGGTATACGAAAGAAGAGCCCCAATGATGAGCAATATTTGTAGTCGCTATATGCTTGTACTATAATGTACCCCTAAGCCCTGCTTTAATTATTAAGGTCCGTCACTATATCATAGCAACTTTGGTTTTAACCATTATACAATATGCAACGCTTATGGATCCCCTTAAAGCAGAACACCGATTGAGAGCTTATTTTATTTTTCAGGGCCTTGTATCAGTGGCATAACCCACCAGCTGTTCTCCTTCCAGGACAGATGCCCTGCAGAGGGCGGCGTCGCCAACGCCGGAGCCAGAATCTGTGAAGAAGGGCTCCTGGGACGAGCCATCTGAAACCCAGGGATTTCGTTTGTTTAGGGGCCCAGGGTTTAGGGCTTTGCTAGCAGGTTGCAGGGTTCTGGTCCGAGAATGGGGGGCTTTGGATTGAAAGGCCTCTATAGTGCAAGGTTGAGGGCACTGAAGTTTTCAGTCAGTGGTGGATAATATATAATATAACGGGCCCCAAAACCCTATTCTACTTACTAAGCTTACTGAGGCCCTTGCATTATGTGCACTTTTCCGGGCTCTGGGATGCCTGTTTTGGGGTGCCTGCATTAGAAGATCCTAAACGTAAAGTCGCAAATGCAGGCTCGTTGGTTGACAACCCTGTAGACAACAGTGCTCATGACCAGGAGTGATTTGCATACTTACTGTGTTTGTCGCTCAGGGACAGGTCGTTGAACTTGGCATAAACTCTCAAACTTAAAAGCGTGCACTGCACCTCAAACCCGAAATACAAGCCGAGTGTAAGCGTCAAAATAAAGATTCACCCCAAGACCCCAACTCCACCTAAACCCTAAGCCCTAACATTGCACCCGGTGGGACGAAGGAACTCCATCGAGTCGGGAAAGCTTTGCACTACCAAATGCGCCTTGGGCACGTCCTATGAGGGATCCTGACGTTTCTGCAGGGGCCTAGATTTTTGGAATAGCGTTTCGGTGGTTCCTGTTATAGTTATAGTATATTATAAACACCAATACTATTTTTTTTTTGGGGGGGGGGCTCCTTATTATAAAATATACAATAATGGGCCCCAAGACCCTATAAAAAATTGCTAAAGCCCCCTATATTACATGGGGTCTCAGGATCCTTCCACCGAACCCTGAGACCGCCTTTTTTTAGCCTCTATAATCTAAGGGCCTAAGTCATTACCAATACTATTTTGGGCGGGGGTTCCTTATTATAGCTATTATAACTATATACTCTGAAGGACTCAAAAACTTTTATTCTGATTATTAAGCCCCTAAACCCCTACGAAACCTGAAACCACACGGGAATCTGCTGCCCAGAGTTAACCTAGACTGGGGGCGCGGGGGAGCCGTTGAAGAGACGGAGGGTTTCTAGGGCTGCCCCCCCTCAACATGGTAACATCCTCAACATCAACCTCCAAGACTCGAGTTCAGATGATGCCACATATTCTATCTTCTAGATCTTAGAAGTTATCTATTACATAGTAAGTTGGATTTACAAAACAGGGCCCATCAATTCCGAAACTGTTTGGCAAGCTTCGGACGGGTTTTATGCGCAATCTGGCTCTGACAAAGTCACAGAAGGGTTTCCCCGAGCAGCCAAGCAAATGTGCAGATGCTCTTTCCGGATTGAAAACAGCAGCCGAACTTGAGCTGCAGATGTTCTTTCCAGATCTAGAACGGTTGTGGAGTCATGTTCGATTCTTGTGCATGGTTTATTCAGGGCTTCGGGAACCTGAACCTTAAAGCTCTCCCCTCAGTACCTTAGAGTTCAGGGTGTTCCGCGTGCTCCCGCAGCCTTCGACTCCGAATTTCCGAGCGCTCCGCCCTGAACCGGCAGTGTGGAAGTTGCTGAACGCTAAGCCCGGATCCTACACACACCCGCCACACTTAGTTGGGCAGGTCTCTAAGTTTCGGCCCCTTTCTAAGTCCCCACCACAGTACGGCACCCTTACAAAATAAGCTTGCAAGGGACCCTGATTTAGAAAACTGCTCAATTGGTTTCAGCATGACCCGATCCTGCCCCTTAAAAATATGAACCCCCGTATATACAGCCTTGTTAAACCTCGTATGGCCCTTCTCAATGTGTGATACCTGGTAAAGCAGCTGTAAAGCTGCTGAATGAACCCCCCCCCCCCCGTACATAGAGGTAACAGCGGGTACACGCCCAACCATGCCTCTCTTCAGTGTCGTCACCTGGAGCTGCATTTGATGGTAGTTTCGCTTCTCAGAGGCTTGCAGGGTCGCGGTTACGTCTTTGCAGTCTTGAGTTTAGGGGTTCACGGTTTAGGGTTTTGAACTTTAAAGTTCCAGGGTTTAGGGTTCAGGGTTTTGCGGCTTCTGCCACATCCTGTGACTGTCAGGTGGCTGCCCTGGGCATTGGGTTTAGGGGCTCACGGCCTCTGTAAAATCAAGATCCTTGCAAGCGACGGCCGCTGTATTTGGACTGTTTCCGTTGGAAGGCCCGCCTGCTCGGGTTCAATCGGTTCCCAATTCTGATCAACGAAAACGCGGTTCCATCGCTGGCCGTAAGTATGTCCTGAGTGAAACTGTAGGTTTTCTCCGGGAGCTTTGTCAATAACCTGCCAAAATCTGCAACCTGGTTTTTGCCGAGCACCTATGGACAAGTAGCCCATATGGAGCTAATCGTGTTCAGGTCGAGGGCGTCGGGTGTACACATGCTTGCTTAGCTTACGGGTACAAATATTTGCTCGCGATAGCCCCAAATCAAATACTTGAGACCATGCTTCCCTGAAGCATTAAGCTTCATTGAGCAAGGCTTTAGGTCTAGCGGGGGCTGCTCTGGGTATTGCGCTCAGGACTGGGGAAGCTCTCGCCGCACACCTTCGTTTGCAATCCGTACCTGAGCTCACAAGATATTTCAAGGAGGGCACATTCTAGCAGTTCCTGAGGCACTTGAGCCCTGCCTGTAGCCTTAGCTTCACTCATTGCTCTCGAGGTAGTTTTGGGCTTAAGACAAAAGGAGCTCGGGACTATCATTGGCATTGTGTTGAGTACTGTTGCCTTCGTTTTAACCATGCTAGAGTGCTGGGCTCTACAGGGTTTGGGTGCCGTTTGGCATCCGAGAAAGGCACTGCAGCTATTACCCGTCGGCAATGCCGGGAGGACACCCACAGCGAAATCTAGATGTGGGGGTTTCCGAAAATAGGGGACCCTAATATAGTACCCTAAATAATAGGATCCCTATTATAAGGACCCCAAAATATGGTACCCCTTATTTTCGGAAACTCCCATGTCTAGCAATGAAACTAAGGACTTACTACATACCCAGGCATACCAGGGCTTCCTTTCTGCAAGGTACTATAACCCAGCAGATGTGTGGAAGGAATGTGCACCCACACACCCTGCAAACCGCAAAAAGACCTCTTCTTTCCTCCGCGTCATCTCAGCCGGAAGTCACAGATGACCCCGGAGACTCCAGAAGCCCAGAGAGACCCCGAAGCCCTGAACGCGTGCCTCATGTAGGGAAATCTTGCTGCAGTGCTTGTTGAAGCGGCGGATGTTGCTTTGGGTTTTACAGTCGATGTTGGAGAACCACCTCCGGCAGCAAATCAGGAATCCTTGCGCAGTGCCCGCCGTGGCGAATCGCTTGGGCAGCGGATGCTCAGGATGGGCATAGAACCAGTTCAAGCTTTTGGGGCACACTGCTGATGAACAAAACTCCTGCAACATCTATACTAAGCTTGATGCCATGGGTGCCAGAGGTTCAGAGTACTTATCCGGCAATGAATCGAAGGATTTCGTCCATCTGCCATGGGAAATTCGTGGAAGAAGATGCTACATACTCTTATTAAAGCAAGAGGGCCCTTTAAACTTTCAGTTCGGCTGTCCTTGGGCGCTGCCCCGCCCGGTCTTCCTAGCCTCGGATCATCTTACCCCTTCGTATTCCTCCTGTCCTGACATGGGCAAGCCCCTGTTTCTTTTAATAGGGTGTTTCGGGCTGTGTGAAGGGGGTATACAAAGTTCTAAAGATTCCAAAAAGGAATCCTCTGCTGGCCCTTACTTCTCAGGGTCGCGAGATTAGCACGTTGTTCACCGCGCAGCCCTAACCCTGATGTGAACTCGACATGTGGAGCCTTGCCTGCCTTGCGCGAGTGCGAGAGTCGAAGCCTTACGGCTTGTTAAAAAGGTTTTTTGGGCCAGGGAACAGGAGGCGGTAGGCCGGGAGAGTCTTGGCCGCTACTGGATGCATCGTTTACTCTGTCTGGGGGGCCCTGAAAACCGAAGGCTTCAGCTCGAGTCAGTCAAGATTCGATGGTTACGACTTTGGGTCGATAGAGCATCTGACATCCCCCCACCTCCAAAAGATCGAGAGCTTCCGACGCCAAGAGACAAGTTCTCTCCAAGTCCACAGACACGCCTTTTCTGCCGCAGGGCTACCGCATCCGGCCATGGTGGATCACGGCACGACTTGCATGCCGCTGGCTCGGCGTTAGATAGTCTGATTATATATTATCTTCTAACATATTATGGGAGTGCGATGACGCTTGCGGGGTGATGTGGGAAGTGGATCTCGTATCTGGCATGTAACCTGCCATGTGGAATCGAATCTCGACACTGCCATACGGGAGCCAAAAACATATGATAGGAAGGTCTATGATAGTATGTACCATGCTTAGCCGGCTGTCGGCATCGTGGGTTTAAGCGTGTTGTCATGCGGGAAGCTGACACGGTGCATGGTGACAGATGTACTGGCGGGTTTCAAGGATCAGGATTGTCCGGCAGGAAACGGGCTGTCTGCTTCCAAGTCGCTAATCTGTTTCCTTAGTCGCTCTGGCAGATACCGCCTGGTAGGCCATTCTTGAGAGCCCCGTATACGTCACGCAGCTCTTGTATAGTATGCGTCTCGAAACTCTGTTGTTTTCAAAGCCTCTCCGTCTCAGGACCCAGTGCGAAGACGGATACACGCCGACCGTTGCAGAGCTAAGATGCCTCTTGTCTGCGAACCGTCTTTGTCGGCGTTGGAGCTTTCGGCGATTCCCAAAAATCTGAACTACGAAGCCATGCAGCTCCGGAACGCAAGCTACGAAAAACGTGGCCCAAAGCCCTGCAAAGCCCAGGCGATTTCTCGGTTTCACTCCTTCTTGTTAGTTCTGGGTCCTTTCGATCTTTCACGGTCCATGTATGGGGCTGTGATGCTGCATGGAGCCTTCACTCATCTTCACTCCAACCGTACGAAGTTCGTCCCGAAAGCTCTTAACGTCCCATAGGCAGCCTGCACCTCCCAACCTAAAGCACACATCGGCATGCATTATCCTGCTTGCAGTGGTATCCATGATAAGCAAAAGCTCTAATCAGTCGTGGATGTACGAGTAGCTTCCTCAGCAGTGCCATCACCACAAGTGTTGAAAGAACGTGCGGTTTCAGTGTTCCGGGCCACTCTAACCCTGCTCCCGAAAACATTACCAGGTGCTGCTGGCACATTGGCGCCCACCACTTTCTCCTGCAGCGAGCTGCACGGCTGGCAAAGCTTCAGGTTTTCCCTAAGGCTCCATGTGCCTATGTAGTAGTATAGTATAGACATAGGCAGTACAGGGAGTGCCGGAGAGCCTATAGAGGTACTGTACGGCCAAAGTATGTATTTTCTGGGTGCTTGGACCCTTCGAGGTCTTGGGATCTCTTCACGCAGTTCGTGGTGCAGCATCATGAAGCCCTAACCCCCCAGGTACCTACTATATAGGGCCATAGGGGGCTCTAGTACCCTATTTAGTAGGAACCTGGGGGGTTAGGGAAGTTTAGCAGTTCGTGAGCTGGAGCTTTCAGGGCTTTGGGTGTTGGGTTGGGCAGCTGAGGGGATTAGTTTGCGCACTGGAGCTCTTCTTCTATAGGCCCTACTACGACCCCAAAGCGACAAGGACTTCAGATGTGTCTAGTGCC